CAAGTATGAGTCAAGAAGTGGCTTGAAGTTCTACGGGAGGTGGGCTCCATTGTTAGTCCGCTAGGATGGTCAATAAGAACTCCTAAAGCTAGAAGACTAAGACCTCACTAAAAATGAGGTCAACAGTGGGCACCAACTAACGATTTCCCTAATGGGTTGAAAATCTAGGTGTGTTTGTATCTGATCCTAAGAGCCCACACTGCGGGATTCGAACCCCCAACCTAAGGATGATTTCATGCCCATAAATATACATATACATATTTTTTTTTTTGAAAGCCTAAAAAGGCTAATATATTAAATAGAGAAAAGATACAGATACAATGTGTGAGAGGGCCCAAGCATGACACCCTGCCTACACAAAAACCACAAATGATTCCAAAACTAGAAAAAACAGAAAAATACATTTGATACTTAAATAAAAAACATAACAGTGCTGAAATACATAGTATCAGGTGCCTAGAGAGCGATCCAATTTGGTCTTACCTCTGCCTCTAGTTCTAGGGAAGGAGCAAGCTAATAAGCTGGTAAGATGATTTTTATTGCCAGTAGTAACCAATGCATCATCTAATATGTTCCCGAGCTGGAGTCGACCTCCATTCTTCTTCTTCTTCCTGGAATAAACCTGTCATTTTTCTTCCGAAGAATCAGTCTGATGGGGTGTTAGAGTTGAAACAGAAGGAATACCAACCGTAGTACGCACAATAGGTTCTAGTATAGTATATGTGAAGTATGAGTTGTTATGAGTTGTCTCTACACCGGGTACTTCCTGAAGAAGTGGAGCTATGAGGCTCTCCTGATTATTAATCTAAACACTATCATTTGTAGGTAATTGTCCATCAATATTATTTTCTATGGGGTCGAAAGTGTCAGCATCACATTACTCACAGTAACAGTAACAACAGTGTCATGGGGGGTCCTCAGGGGCAACACACACCTCCTGTCTGGTAGTATCCTCCCTAAGTGGAATTAAAATGTCCAGAGCAGTGGGGTTAAACCCATCTTTATTCACTTGAACCTTAGATACCTCTTGAACCTTAGATTTCAAATTTGGATGAAACTTGTGGCATTTATCAAGGACATGACCAAACATCCTACAGTGGGTACAATATGAGGGTCTGTGCTCCATGAAGATTTGTTGTTAATAACCATAATGGGTTGTGCCCAGCCAGACATCAATAACATCAGGTAAAGTAATATCCATTTCCACAAGCATGGTGGCCACCGAGGGTCTGGTTAGGTTGAAAGTAGGCAGATCTAGCTTCAAAGGATTCCCAAGGATGACCCCAATAAAGTGGAGAACCTAATAGTGAAAAAATGCAGCTTGATACCAGATAAACTAAACCATATCGGTACAGTGGGAGTTTCATGATTTGGATCGAAATCAGAAGACTGGGTCGAAATCAGGAGACGACTTGAGTAACTTCATGGGTTTGCCAGCGATGTTAAGATATTTTCTAGAGAAAATCCGAGTATAGTTCTCAGACACGGTTAACTGAATCAATACATGTCTCTCATTCATGAGCCTCACTTTCCACTTTTCTGTTAATTTGAGGTCATCAAAACTTCAAAACTTTTCGGTCATCAAAACTTTTCCTGATAATTTCCATAGGTGGGTGCCCCCACTGAAATTTCTCAATAAGAGCAAATTTAAATTTGTCAGTCAACTTTGAAATTTATGACTTAGAGAAAAATAGTGTTGTCTTTCCATTTTTTTTGCTTGCATTCTTAATAAAGGGTTAGTCACCTATGCCATCACGATGCTCCTTATAACTTGAAGGGAAGACAACCGCTGCCTCCCTTTGAGGATTACCCACCATGTGGGCAAGGGAGATTTTGTTAGGTTCAACCGAAAAAGGAAGCTCCATCACAGCAAAGAGAAGTCCTGCAAGTCAGGCAGAGGG